GACGACGTCATTGACGGTGATCAGATGGACGTCGATGACGAAGACTACGCCGCCCCTAGAATTTCTATCTCTTTCTTTATTGTCATGTTTTTTAATTACTTGCTTCCGTTGTACTCCACTATTTCCCATTTCAATAAATAAAAGTTATCTTTTATCTTTTTGTTAATGTCAAAAGGGGGAAGAAAAGAGCTATGCATATACTAAGGGGGAACGTCTCTAAAAACGGGATCGTTTGATTTGAATATGACTACTTGCTTTTAAGCAAAAATTAAGGGGGAACTTTTTCACACCTTTTTTGAAAATCAAATATCCCTTAGTATGCATATCCCCGTCTTGTTTGCCATTATCAAAAAGGGGGAAATTGTTGGAACACGGGTTTACACCTATGTTGTACTAAACCGTGTTCGTTTTATGACAGGTTTTAATAATGCCAAACCACCGTGATAACAAGATTAAGCTGAGCAAATCAAAGGCGAAGGAACATGGCATGATGAATTAAGAACCAAGAACCAAGAACGAAGACTTAGATTTTATGGAGTCGGTCTTAATGTGATCAAGACCGGCACGAACTTCCAAAACTTGGCTCTCTAGGCTCACTTCATAAAAATATTCTTTTGAATATTCAAAAATGTTTTTCATAAGTTTTAAACAAGCCTAATACACTTAGTGATCGCCCAAACCAAAAACCAAGCCATTCGGCGTTCGGTTTTCAGAAACCGGCGTTCGGCATTCGGTTATCGGTGTTGGTTTTTGGCATCCAAACCAACCAATTGTTTTTCGACATTTTATGATTGGTTTTCACTTTTGGGCATATTTAAATAGTTTTCCAACAAAAACGCTTCAAAAACCACCCTTTGTTTTTGGTCGTTTAGTAAAAACCATGCAAAACGGCGTAAACGTGGCTAGCCGTGGTTTTTATCTAAATGACGTGGTTTTCAATATGTTTTACTTGATTTATTAGCAAAATGAATCAAACAAATGTTTTCAATATTTGGTTTTTTCTTTGGAGAACTTAGATTTTTGACATCAGCTAACGGCATGACTAAACCAACCATGGGTCTGGCTAAACCAGCCCAACAGCGATGTTGGAGTAACCAACAGCGCTGTCCGGCATGGGGAGCTAAAAACTATGGGTTGGCGTTAAGTCCATGATAGATATCAATATCAAGTCAAAAAATAAAGAGGGAAGGAAAGAACCGAGAGAGAAAGATGGGGCAATTTTCTGATATATTTCATTGATTAAAACAAGGAACAACACACTCCTTAAATATGCAAACTTCTAACAATAATGACCTAAAATCATGCAGGCAGTTGCCAACTTCTTGACTCCACTACTTGTGCACTTCTTGACTCCAGTACTATTTGTGCAACAACACTAGAAAAAGTCAAACTACAAAAGAAATGTTCGTACTAACACAATGTAACAACAACAATTAAAACAATAATCATTCCCCCATGTATGCAATGAGTGCCCCTACGTTCCCACGCACACATCATTCCCCACCCCTCAAAAACCTTGCCCACAAGGTGAAAAAGAAGGGTGGGATCTGCAGAATCGTCGTTCTTGTTCCCAAGTAGCATCTTCGACTGCACCATCAACCCATTTAACCAAGATATCATGAAGAGGTTGGTACTTCCCTCTTTGAACGACGCGATGGTCCAAGATTTTCTCCGGTTGCGGGTCAGTATCCTTCAGCTCTGTGGCCGTAGGGGGAGGCACGGGTGGTGAAAAGAGTTCTCCCCAATGAAGTTTGAGCTTGCTTACATGAAACACATTATGAATTTGGGAGCCCTCTGGTAACTCCAACTCATAAGCAACTGGTCCAATGCGTCTTAGAACTTGAAAGGGTCCGTAAAACCTGGGGGCAAGCTTGTTGGGCTGCCTCTTTTCCATCGTAGCCTGCCTATATGGCTGAAGTTTGAGATAAACATAGTCCCCGACCTGGAAGGTAATCTCTCGACGGTGCTAATCTACATTGGTTTTCATAGTATTTTGAGCTTGAAGGAGATTCTTCCTTAGATCTTGTAAGAGTGCTGCGCGCTCTCGTAATTCGGCATCCACGGCTTCGACTTTGGTTGTACCTCGCTAATATGGAACAAGGCGGGGTGGTGGGATCCCATAAACAGCCTCGAACAGAGACAGCTTGGTAGATGAATGGATAGAGGTATTATAACTATACTCGGCCCAAGGCAACCATTCGATCCAAGACTTAGGGCGATCACTGGCAAAACACCGTAAGTATTGTTCAAGGGTGCGATTTACCACCTCAGTTTGTCCATCCGTTTGGGGATGGTAGCTCGAACTCATGCTCAACGTGGTTCCTTGCAACTTGGACAAAGTTTGCCAGAAGGTACTCATAAAAATCTTGTCCCGGTCACTAACGATTGAAGACGGAATACCATGTAGTCGAACTACATTGATGACGAAAGCCTTAGCAACGGAGGCAGCGGTGAACGGGTGACGGAGGGCAATGAAATGGGCGTACTTCGAGAGCCGATCGACCACCACGAAAATGGTAGAATATCAACCTAAAACCGGAAGACCTTCCACAAAATCCATGGAGATATCAGTCCAAATCTGGGTTGGAATAGCAAGGGGCTGTAGTAATCTAGCAGGTTTTAGGGTATCAGCCTTGAACCTTTGGCATATAGAGCGTTCTTGAATATAGTCCCTGATCATCTTCCTCATACCAATCCAATAAAAATCCCTTTTAATTCTTGCAAGCGTCTTCTGGTAACCGAAATGGCCACGTACGGGTGCCGAATGACAATCATGAAAGATCTTTGGAATTACGGATGATGATGGGCTCAAAAATACTTGATCACCTCGAAACCATATGCCATCACATTGAATGAGCCTAGGGTCCTTCGAATCAGTGAAAGATTGAAAGAAAGGGTCTGTTGAAATTTCTTCCTATACCTTTTTCCACCAACCCTTTTTTGTACATGAAACTGCCATAAAGTTGATTTCCACCATCCTAGCCAGTGCATCTGCGCCTCTATTCTCTGCACCAACCTTATACTCAATACGATAGTCGTAACCAAGAAGCTTGGGTAACCATTTGGTTTGGGCTGGGGTGGTAATTCGTTGCTCCAGCAGGTGCTTTAGTGCCTTGTGATCAGTTCGAACAATGAATGGTTTACCCAGTAGATAAGGCCTCCACTTTTTGACTGCTTTAACAATTGCTAACATCTCCTTTTCGTATGTCGATAGGTGGCAAGCCTTTCCTTTTAAAGCTTCACTATAGTAAGCGATAGGTCTATTTTCTTGGATTAATATGGCTCCCAAACCTCCACCGCTAGCATCACATTCAATAATAAACGGGCGAGTCCAGTCTGGTAACTGAAGAACAGGTGGAGTAGTCATTGCCTCCTTAAGACGGAAGAAGGCCTGTTGAGCTTCCTCAGTCCATTTAAATCCCTCTTTCTGTTGGAGTTGTGCTCTGATGGCCAACTGTTTATCTTTATTCTATCATGTATAGGTAGATATAATATGTTTACACATCTCATGCTAATGTAAACAAATATTATATTCCTAGATTTATATTTAAAAGATGTTTATCGGATAGTGTTATTCTGCTGATGAGACTAACATCTTGAAATAAGTATTTATCTAAATGTCCATAGTCGAGTATTAACGAGAGTGGGATATCGTTAATGCATGTGAGACTAGTGTGTGTTGGATGTTTGACTTAGTCTCATAGTCAATGATGGTGTGTTCGCATCCGCACATGGGCAGATATTATCTAGAGATAATAGGATGCCAGACTGACCCATCTTAAAGATGTTGCTTGAACTTTTAGTTCATGCTCTAAGCATCTTTAGCGCGACCACGCGTGTAACTATCCTTCGACTTGAAGTATTACGTTTTCTGCATATGTGAACCCACATGCTTTGATGCATTGTCCTAAGCCATATGAAATAAGGGTGGTATACAGGCTTTGTTTTGGGTATGCCGCAGTGCGTATTCAGAAACGTAGATTACGTACATAAGATTTGTCACTATTTTTTTTAAAGAGATTAATGTCTTATGGGGCCCACTGATAAGTTATGACTAAGGAAATTGCATGGCCATGCTGAGATGCTTTTATGACGTCTGTTCCTATTAGTCAGACTTGATAAATCAGTGAATGACTTAATGGATACAAGCTGGATTTTATTAATCCCTTGCATTAAGTCTAGACATTGAGACAAAGGGATATAGTTACACGGAGTCTGAGTCGTGGAAAGGTTTTGACGGTGCAAACGTCTTAACTTATAATCTGGGGGCAATAATGTGTTGCTAGATACCGCTTATTGCTTATAGTGTTGGTGCAGAGCCAATACTGTGGCCAGCTTTATAAGTGCCTATACGGGTCACACACTTTGAACAATTTAAGGAGTAGGATTAAACAATGGGATAATAAGTAATTTGTATATTTGTAAAAAAAATAGTAAAGTAAAATATTTTGGAATATAATATTATATATATAAATATTCGGTTATATATATTATATATATGTACCGATTAATGTATATATATTATATGTTGAATATTTTATTTTGGTTTGTCATTTTAATTATGAAAATAACTATTTTGACATAAACTATTTGAAGTATATTTTATACTTGTTTAAAAATGATATTGGTATTTTTATTTGATTCAAAATTAATTTTTATATTAATTTTTGGTGTCAAATAAAATACACTTTGAACATTTAAGTGGAGAAGAATTTTGAAAATCCTTCTCATATCATTCATTCGGCCATGATGAGATTGTGAAGAATAAAATTTCATTCTTTGATTACTTAGTGGAGTTAATTGATTTGTCATTTAGCTAATAACAAAAATTAATCTTTGTTTTCTATATATGCACCTCACGCACCATTAAAACAAGTGGAGAAGAAAATCATCCAATTTGCTTTTGAGTTTCGGGCATTACACTTTAGTGAGAGAAAATATATTATTGTGTTCATTAATATCATTTGTGTATATAAAATATCTATAATATTTTCTAAATATTATTAGAAATATTTTCTATAGAAATATACAAGATTATTATTATCCCAAATTTTAATCTTTATATTTTATACTACTATAATCTTTACTAGCATAAAGATTGTGGTAGACTCCGGCGTTGTTCGTGTGTCAAAGTTGGAGGCCGGACGCTTGAACGGTTACGTTTGCACTTTCAACGCTCTTCCTACGACTTCTTCGTTTTTACCGCTTACGGAGAAAGGTAAAAATTTCTTACTACTATATGTTTTAGTACGTGATTCTAGGCAAGATAATCATGTTAGGATGTTAAAATTTTTATATTCCGCTGCCTATCCTTGCATGGTTACCTTTCAGTGGTATCAGAGCCAACGTACAAAATTATAATTTTACGTTTGACTTTTAAAATTTTAAACGTCAAAGTTTTAACACGGTAATTATTAAAATTCAAAAATTGGTAAAATGATTTTATTTAGTCTTGGAATAAATATTGGACTTAAATAAATCATTGAAATGAATTTTAAATTTATTTATTTTTATTTCTACCCGTAATATATATATAAATATATATATATATATATATATATATATATATTGATTTTTCGAAATATATATTTATATATATTGTAGAAATAGTAAATATAATTTCATTTGGACATAAAACATCATTTTTTGATTGATAAAATTATATTGTAATTTTTAAATGTATTATTTCCTATTTTGAATTTATTGTATTTATTTAGGTAAAAACCAAAAATAAATATGTGAAAATTCAAAATGAACTTTATTAAGCTTAGAAATATTATTTCTAAGTTAAATAAGGTTGTTGATAAATATAGTGTACAAAATAATATTAGTTAGTAATTAAATAAATATATATTTATATATGTACTCGGTATTATTACCGAAATATTATATATATTTATATATTTGTATTTTAATTACATAAATGACTAATATATATATTGGAAAGTTATATCTCAGTAAGAATAAGAATGTTTTTCAAAATATTAAATTTTTGTAATTTAATGTTTTCGAAAATAATTTAAATGGCTTTTTATAACTTATTGAGATTTAACTAATATATTTTGGAAATAATGATTTATAAATTTTGGAAATTTTATTTCCAGGTTTATAAATGTTGAAAATAATTACTGGAAGTTGAAATTTAATTTTCATGATTTTTGCAAAATTTTTCGGAATTAAATTGCCTTTTCGAAAATAATTTTGCAAAAAGGGCATTTTGGTCATTTGGAATATTCTGGATTTTTTTTATGCTGGCAGAATATCCAGAGTATATAAAATGATTTTATAAAATTTTATTAGATTTATTTGGACATCTAATTTATTTTTATGAGTTTTAGAAAATATTTACTGCCGTAGTATTTTTCTAGAACTGTCCGGGGTGAGCGCGGTTCACCCGGTGTATGTATATCTCTATTGCTTGTGTGGATGTATGATATGCATGGTGGATGATTGTGGCTATAGTTTATTTGATTATAATACGGCCTGCATGTCGTGCCTTATCTCTTAAACTCTTGTTGTAAATCTATTTCTCTATCTTACCTCAACCGAGGATTCTTTTCTCACGTGGTGGTTTGCAGACGAAAAGATTTGAAGACCATTTGGAGAAATCTAAAAGAATGGAGATAGCCCGAAGTCCAAGTGCCCGGGAGCCAGTGGGAGCTATCGTTTTATTTTTCTTTTAGGGGCCACAATCATTACACGTTTATTTACTGTGTTTTGTGAATGCATGTTGAATGTATGTTGAACGCTAGTAATGGACATGTGCGCGGCCATGTCAATAGGTGAGATCGAAATTATAAATCCCTCACGAATATTAAGTCTGTTGCCTTCTGACGCCCGGCACCTATCCGGCTAATGTGCACTGTCATGTACTCAGCCTCAGCAGAGCATAGTACGGTGTATGTTAAGCCGGTTATGGGAACCGCCATAGCGTGGTCGCTGTCGCACGTTGGGTTAGACTTAAATGAGTCTCGGTCAAATGGATGGATGACTCAGAGGCAGTAAGTTGGGGTCATCAATGACAAGTCGGATGATTTTACTCACTCATCCAGCCAGGAGTTGGATCTTTATGATTTAATTGGAACTCTGTTCCTAACCAAAGTAGTCTGCTTGTAAGACGTGCCTCAGCCAATTACAAGTATGGTGAAAAGGTGTCCTGGTCCGGTTGTAGTAATATTGTTCGCCCAACACCAGACCAAGAGCTGAGAGCCCAGCTCATCAGTTGGAACTATGTTCCTACCTAAATAGTTGTCTTGTGGAGTAACGCCCAAGCGGAACGCAAGATAATGAAATATGGATCTTGGCCCACTAGAGGTTTCGCCAGAAATCTCCGAATCAATATTGAGGGTTATTGATTTGTTAAAAATAGTGGGAGATAATTAATTAAAGGCCTAATTAATTATTAAACATGATAGATAACCTATTTTGCAAAATTTTCTGTAGATGGCAAACAACAACAGCCCTTTCAACCTGCGATATGTTCTAGAAAAGGAAAAATTATCTGGAACTAACTTTCTTGATTGGGAGATGAATCTTAAGATTGTTCTCGAATGCGAGAAAAAGCTTTACGTCCTAACATCTGAGCCTCCCAAAGCTCCTGAAGCGAACGCCCGTGCTGCAGAAATTACTTCGTACCGGAACTATGAAGGTGACGCACGTGATGTGAGATGTCTCATGCTAGCCACCATAACCCCGGAGCTCCAAAGGCTCCACAAGGACATGGAAGCTCATCCTATGATGACTCGCTTGAAAGGTCTATACCAAGGCCAGGCTAGACATGAGCGTTTCAAAATCTCTACGACTCTGTTTTCCAGTAAGCTGGCAATGGATAACCCAGTTGGTCCCCACGTTCTCAAGATGTTCGGCTAGATCGAAACTCTTGAAAAACTGGACGCCCTGTTGCACCCTATGCTGGCAACTGATCTCATCTTCGGATCATTACCAGCTGAGTATAGTCAAACTGTAGTGAACTTCTACATGAACAAACTAGAGATGACTATGCCTGAGCTACTGAAATTCCTCACAACTGCTGAGGAGAGTCTAGGAAAGGGCAAGGGTAAGTCTATCCTGATGGTAGAGGGCAGTACTGTTGCGAAGAAGAGTGGGCCACGTTCGCCGGCCGGGACCAAACGCAAGGGTTCTAAGAAACCCAGGCCAGCGTCCAACTCCTCTTCGTTGAAACCCAAAGAAAGAGTTAAGAAGAAGTCTGCTGTATGCTATTATTGTGGCAAAAAGGGCCACTGGAGGCGCAATTGCGCAAAATAACTGGCAGAGAGGAAAGAGGGAAAGAAACCTCAAACCTCAGGTATCTTCGTTATTGAAGTCAATATGTCTGATATCACCTCTTGGGTGATGGATACTGGATGTGGTTCTCACATCTGTACTTCTATGCAGGATCTGGATGAACGTAGACAATTGACGGAGGGAGAGATACAACTAAAAGTCGGCAATGGCGCACTCGTAAATGCATTAGCCGTCGGAACCTATAGTTTATCTCTACCGAGTGGTCTTGTATTGCAGTTAAATAATTGTCTGTTTGTACCTAGTATGAGCAAAAACATCATTTCTGTATCCTGCCTTGACAAAGCAGGATTTTCGTTCGTTGTAAAAGACAAAACTCTTTCTGTCTTTAGAAATGAAATATTTTATGCAACTGCAAAAATGACCAACGGTCTCTATGTCCTCGACATGGATACCGCAGTATATAACATGGATGTTAAGAGAAACAAACCTAACAGTTTGAATCTCGCGTACCTATGGCATTGTCGTTTGGGCCACATTAACGAGAAATGCATATCTAAGTTACATCGCTCAGGTGTACTTGATTCATTTGACTTCCAGTCATATGATGTATGTAAGTCTTGTTTACTTGGTAAAATGACAAAGGCTCCTTTCACCGATCACGGTGAAAGGGCGAGTGACTTATTGGGCCTCATACACTCCGATGTGTGTGGTCCAATTAGCACTGTAGCTAGAGGTGGTTATTCTTACTTCATTACATTTACTAACGACCTTAGTAGATATGGATATGTGTATCTCATGAAACACAAATCGGAATGCTTTGACAAATTCAAAGAATTCAAGAACGAAGTAGAAAAACAATTAGGCAAAAGTATTAAGACCCTCCGCTCGGATCGAGGAGGTGAATACTTAAGCCTGGAGTTCGATGACTATCTAAAAGAGCATGGGATCTTATCCCAACTCACTCCTCCAGGGAGACCTTAGTTAAATGGAGTGTCTGAGAGGAGAAATCGGACTTTGCAAGACATGGTCCAAAGCATGATTAGTTTGACAACATTGCCACAATCATTTTGGGGATATGCATTGAAAATAGCAGCACACACACTCAACAGAGTTCCATTTAAAGCTGTCGAGAGCACACCATACGAACTATGGCGTGGGAGAAAACCGAGTTTCTCGTACTTTAAGATTTGGGGTTGTGAAGCTTATGTAAAACGTCTCATGACGTCTAGTAAGTTGGAGCCTAAATCTGATAAAAATTTTTGTGGGATACCCCAAGGAAACTAGAGGGTATGAGTTCTATCATCCATCCGATAACAAAATTTTTGTTGCTCGAAATGGAACCTTCCTTGAGAAGGAGTTTCTTTCTGCTATCACTAGTGGGAGAAAGGTAGACCTCGAAGAAATTCGAGAACCACAAGAAGAAGTCCCGATAGTGTTGGAACATGAGCAAAGAGATCAAGCAATTGAACCTCAAATTGCTCAAGATATACCACGTAGGTCAGACCGGATACATAATCCTCCGGTCAGATATGGATTTCTCATGTCTGATGAAGGTGACGTCTTGTTGGTAGATCAAGGCGAACTAGAGACCTACCTCGAGGCAATTACATGCCCCGAATCCGATCTATGGCTCGAAGCCATGAAATCTGAAATGGAGTCTATGTACACAAACCAAGTCTGGACCTTGGTTGATGCGCCCGAAGGGGTAAATCCCATTGGATGCAAGTGGGTCTTCAAAAAGAAGACAGACCTAGACGGGAAGGTTCATACCTTCAAAGCTCGATTGGTAGCAAAAGGTTATAGGCAAATCCACGGAATTGACTATGATGAAACCTTTTCTCCAGTTGTTATGTTGAAATCCATTCGGATAGTGCTTGCAATTGCAGCCTATTACGATTACGAAATTTGGCAGATGGACGTCAAGACGGATTTCCTTAATGGGAACCTCAAAGAGGATGTTTTTATGACACATCCTGACGGTTTTCAAGTTGCTGGTCAGTCTGCCAAAGTTTGTAAACTGCAACGTTCAATCTACGGATTGAAACAAGCATCTCGGAGTTGGTACATACGTTTCGATGAAACCATTTCTAGTTTTGGTTTTGAAAAGAACTCTGACGAATCTTGTGTATACAAGAAGGTTAGTGGGAGTGTAATAGTATTCCTAATCTTATATGTCGATGACATATTGTTAATGGGTAACGATATTCCCGCTCTCACTTCTATAAAGACGTGGTTGAGCGAGAACTTCTCCATGAAAGACTTAGGGGATGCTAGTTATGTCCTTGGCATAAGAATCTACCGAGATAGATCAAGAAAGTTAATAGGTCTGAATCAAAGTACATATATAGATAAAATCCTTGATCGATTTAGCATGTCTAACTCAAAGAAAGGATCTTTACCTATGACACCTGGCAC